GAGCCAATGGCGATGACGCCGCTGTGGCACATCATCTCAAAGTCCATCTCGATCAGCGTACATGATCGCTGGATGGTGGCGCTGTGCGAGACGGGACTCGTAAAGCTGAGGGCAGCAACAATGAACCACGTGAGGATAGACGCCTTGAACGCGTACGCAGCACTGAGCTCTCGTGTCAGTGGCATGCAAATGTCGTCAAAGATGTAGACGAGCCAGCCGACTTCGCCGGCCGCGAGGATCTGCGTGAGGGCTGCGACCCCTCGGGAGGACGACGCCGCGTGCGCTACCAGAAGGGTTACCATGCCTGTTTTCTCAAGCTGAAGGGTTGCTGTGCTCAGAATACACAGCGCGGTGAAGCTGCGCGCCAAAAGCAGCGGCCGGCCGACCCAGATCATGCCACCGACGCGGTTGATTTTGAAGAGGTTGAGGCCCTCGCCAGCGCTGCCACCAAAAAGAGCGTAGAGGGCAGTGACAGAAGCGAGGGCCACGAGCACAAATGAAACGTACTGACAGAGACCTCGGAGGTACGCAGCAACATTGCGCGGTACCTCGATACTACTTGCCGCCAGCGTGGCCAAGTACGATGCCGCCGACAAAAGTGCCATGGACGACGTGTCACCTTGAACCGATAGCGCTTCACGCCCGCCGACGACCCAGTCGTACGCGAGGGCGTAGCTCGTGTACGTCATGGTCGCATCGGATGGATCAAAAAGCACTTGATGGAAGAGCTCAACGCGGTTGGTCGGTACATGGCGGACGTACTGCACGACACCAACCGAGGTTTGGAGGACATCCGTCTCAACGACTAACGCTTGAGATCGGTAGGATTGAAGCACGGTCGTGGATAAGTATCTCGACACAAAGGTCGATACGCTGTCGAGAAACGCCAGGCACTGTGTCAACGCCACCGCTTCGGCCGTACATGCTACCGGAATCAACGTCGTCGGGTCGAGTGGGATCCCAGCGCCAATGACGCTAACGATCGCTTGCATCGGAGAGACGGAGACCCACTCGTTGAAGCTGGTGTGGCACATGGTGTCGACGCCCGTGAACTCCAAAAGCCCGTACGACAAATTCAAGTCCCGAGGCACTTGGCCGCACAAGATGTTGCCGCTCGCGCAGAGGTACATGTTTCGATCGAGGCGGCGTGGGACGGGACTCATCGAGTTCATCAAAATGAGGTTGGCATAATCTTCTTGAGCGTTCGAGCTCGTATTGGCGAGTATGACACCGAGCGCTTCACGGATATCACGCACCAGTATTGCAAGCGACGGCGGATATTGCACGTGGTACATGTCCACCGCACCAAACGGGCCAATGGAATCGCTGAAAGCGCGTAGGGCACCATCGAGTGGGGTCTGCAGTGTCGAATTCAAGACCATAAGAGACTGCAGAGACGTATTGGCAAAGGCAAAGTGGGCACTTGGCCGTAAGAGCGACCTCCCTGCGATCCCAGAACCATTGGTTGCGATCGCCCAGAGATCACTCGCAAACGTCCAATATGTCTTCCACGACGTCGACATGGACGACTGATACGAGCCGTTCGTGGACTGAAGCGTCATATCGTACATCATTCCCAACGCATTCTCAATTGAGAAAACGTCATGGAGGCCGAGTGCCTTGTAGTTTTGCCACTGCGTCGTATACGTCAAAACACCCAGCGACTGCCACACTTTGGCTTCATCGACCACAGAGAGGCTGGAGCCGCTGGTCAGAGACTTTAGCCAGGCAGCGCCGTTGGGCTTGAGAGAGCCAATGTCTTTTGCAACCCCAATCTCAAACGAGGTGCCCCAGCACGACTCAAACGTGGGCCAGTCGACATTTCTGAGAATCGACTCCAAGTAGACAGCGCCATTACTATGGTACTTGGCGTCACATCGCGCTTGACGACCAAGTGTGTTGGCCATCTCGATTTGTCGATCAAAGTCGAGCCAGCAGTAGCTGGTAGCGATCCACGGCGCGTTGCAGGCGTCCATGGAGCGAAGACCTTGAATCATCATGGTGAGGTCCCTTCCTGACTCGTATTGCACGAGCCTTGCGTAGTTGGGGCTGTACGCGATCAAAGTGTCGTGTGCTGAATAATCGGTCGTATCAGCAAAGGCCAACAAGTCCAGACGCGTGGATGGCTGAGATGCGTTGAAAAAGAGGTATCGGTTGAACCAGTTGGAGAGAAAGGTTTGCGTCCCCGTGCTGTTGTACGTCGCCCACCAAAGGTCGTTGGCCAAATTCACAGTCGAAAGCCTAAGGTACGTGGCACTGCCAACGGCACTCGCAACGAGGTAGAGAAGCCCGAGTCCGATTTTGATCCGTGCGAAAAGACGCCCATTCACAGCGAGAAGCTTGGAGCCTGCCTCTGCCCTTGGTCTGCTGCCTGCAATGTCAAAGACAGGACCGACGTCGCCTTTATAAAACACGCTCCAGAGCTTTGTGTCGAAGATGTACTGCCGGCAGCCAAAGCGAGTGCGAAGGAAACCGCACATGACAGCCGTCGACCCGTCCATCGTCCAAACGTCTTGCGTCGGCGCCAAAAACGCTTTTGCGCTGGCCGAGACCAAATACGATGTCCTGAGATTCTCTTCTGCGGGAAGTTGGCCACGTCGATAC